GCCGAGATAAGGGCCGGAGTATGTGTGACGGGTAGCTCGGTCCTTTTTTATCTGAGACCAAACTGGGCAAGGGCGTTGACCGAGCATACTAAATACTAGGCCCAGGGTTGGCCGAGGTTTTTGGTAGACAGATGCCGAGCTAGTATCAGCTCGGTCGATGCTTCTAACTATTACTAGTTGAGCACACGAGCCGAGGTTAAAAGATGACAGCCGAAGTAAAGAAAGTCTGTAGGCAAACCGAAGGTACATCAAGTGGGGCAGAGGGCCGCGAGCTGTGTATAGCTCGACAGGGTGGCATTCGATAGATTCGGCTTTCGATCACACGGTCCGAATGGCAGGGGACCAAGATTAAGGCAGTTCGAGTCAAGAATGTATAACCGAGGTAAAAGGGTTCAGCCATCTCACTTGCTTGCAGTGACGAGACTCCTAGTAGGACTCTGCTAAGGAGGTTAGAGTCCTACTGGGACTGTGCAAACCATCTCACTTGGTTTGGTAGTGGAGTAGGAGTGTGACTCTAGGAGGACCTCTGCTTAAGGAGAGTAGAGTGCCTACCTAGGATTGTGCAAACCATCTCACTTGGTTGGTAGGAAGTAGGGTGTGTCGATTACCTAGGAGAAGGACTCCTAGGGCAGAGTTTGGAATCCTACTAAGGATTGCGTTGCCAACGTAAAGCTATAAAAGCTCATGACCAGACCTATGTACAGGTATCCCAATTTCTTACTCTAGAATACACAACGAGCTTATTGTCTTTGTCTAAGTTGCTGACTAGGCATCGGAGGGGTTTTTCGGCACACACCCGCGGTTTAAGCTCACGTTTGTGTTTTCAGGGTGGCAAGCACAACGTTTTTTGGAGGAGTGCAAACTTGATCAACAGGACATACAAGAAAGAATTATTTCGTGCTCGTACACACTGTATAGATGTCTAATACAAAATTGTTAACTGAATTTGAAACAAAAGAAATTTTGAATCAGCATAGAAACAAATAACTTTAGATTTTTGAATAAGTCTAAGAACACAAAATGGTTTATAGACTGTACACAAAATGTATATAGATGGATATAAATTTTCATAATTTAACTAACAAACTCTAAAAATTTTATGCATATATATATGTATTTGTATTTCAATTTTATGATCAAATTTTGTTTGTTTAACAAACACTATAATATTGTTTAGCTAATGACGCCATTTTGTTACAAGATTTGTAAAGGGCAATTCAAAGATTACAGTCATGACGAGTTTAGGGGAGATTAGATATATGCACTGCCCTTATTGGTATCTAGAGACATTATTCTATGATTTGAATCGACTAACATCGAATTATAATAGAATTATTTTTTTATATTTTTATCAGCATAATAAACAAAGGCCTCCCTCCCTTAATATGATCAATTTCTAAAGGCATTAACTCCAATAAATTAAACAAATAAATAAATAATAACTCTACACACCTTAATTTAGGGCAATGATTTATCGTATGCATGCTAAGTGGGAGCAATTTAAAGAACACTTATTTTGTTTTCTTTTGATAAATCTTGATCTATTTTTTTAGTATTTTGATAAAGTAGACAAATATATCACACATTTAATTTCTATTTTTTTAGTATTTTTTATTTAATAAATAGCATCATGCGATTACTAATTTTGAATCTTAAGACATTATGAAGATTCTTGTTTTATTTTTTTTTCATATAATTTTATAGTATAATTTTAAAACAACTTCATTCTATCAAGTATTGTTTTTATTCAGTGAGATTGGACTAATT